GAGTTCTGCAAATTGAAGAAGAAAAACTTTTTGAGCAGTTAAGAAAAGTTTTGGTAGCGCGCCATAATATGCTGCAATATCTCTAACTATTTGTACTATGACTACTTACTTACAATTCCGTCTTGAAAAGATATTCTTTTTTTTGTCAATTTACTATTTGTTGAGGCGAAGCTAGAAGGCGCCAAGACAGCGCTGAAAGCATATAATCTAAGCTAAAATGAATGGTCTTTGGATGCTACACATAAATCTTGTAGCTCCATTGAAAAAAAAAAAGTTTAGATTCTAGATTAACCATTTTTTATGATATACTTTTCAATTTTATAATATTTTTAGTCTAGAAAGTTTGAAAAAATTATCGCTAGCAAAAATAAACGACAAGTTGGTAGTGTGGTGTTGATGGGAAAATTATTAGTTCATTTTGTAGGAAAATATAAGGACCTGATATGCAACGGTTTGTGTAGACAACCTATTTCAACAAATCCGTTGAACATCCTTAAAATTGAAAATCTTTGATAAGTAATTGGTTTTCATGCGTTGGCTAATGTGCTCAAATATCGTTGTACAAAAGCACGTCATTAATAGTTTAAATCGAAAATATTTATTTCATAAGCAAATCTTACCGCTGATGAACTGGATTTGTGGCATTTCAAGTAGTCAAAGCCAGCTTAAGCAGTTAGGCGACACAGATCAAACAAATGAAATGTGCTAACATTCCTTATACTAAAAGGAAAAAATCTGTAAGATTACTGAATAGCAATTCCAAATAGGCAAATAAAGCTGTTTTGATCAAATGCAAAATTTTCTGCTGAAATTCAGTTAAAAATGAGCTGATATAGAGATAACGAAATAAGCCTGCTTTACCTTCGAGTCTCGTACGTGATACAGTGACGGCCATAGAAAAATATGGTGACCAAGTTTACTCAGATCTCCGTCTGATTTATCTCAAACCAAAATGTGTCTATAGACTAGTCATCGTAACGACGAAGCCTTCCTGGTTAAACGCTGTGTAAGATGAGTTCTTCTCTGTTTATCAAATTTAAACTTATTGCTAAATTTGAATCTTGTTTCAGGTTAAAAAAACTAATCTGAAGCAGAACATTCTATCTTTTGAAAAAATATTGTTAGATTTTAAATGTATCACAGTGTTTGGTTAAAATTTGCATTCGCCTTCTTAAATTTTGAAAATAAAAAGTAAAAAATGAATATATAAAACTAAGCAACAAAACTTTTGTACGGTTTGGCACTTTCTACTGAAAGTTAAAACAACAAATAAGTAAAATCCACTGATTGTAGGAACTCAAGATAACTTAGCTTAATACAACCTTTCCTGCTGAAATAGCTGTTTTAAGTAGAAACTTGTTTAGACGTTAAAATTAGACAACCCAAAAAAACTTATATTAAAAAAGCTTCTTAATATAACAAACAGATAGATACCTGTTGTATTTCAAAATTACAGTTGGTGACTAAAAAAAATAGTAATAATTTCCAAATGCAACTTTTTAAGAATCACAAACAGTTATTGATTAAGGCGACAAACATTTCAGCTTTAGACCATTAAAACTAAAAGCTAGAACTGAAAGCCGCCTGAAATTGCTGCAGATTAATTGCGCATATATTTAAGAAAATAAATGTAACACAAAATTTTTGTTTTTAATATCCAACGATACTGTACTTTTATAATATTTTCTTTAAAGCTAAAATTTTGCAATTTCACTGAAAACTATTCTTAACAACACTATCAAACAGACACTTCAAAGATTAAACAAGTACCAACGACCGACCAACAACTGACCACTCCTGATCCAGCACTTTTAATTCTTTTCTGCCTATCAAAACTTGATAATAATTTGTAAAAACTTAGCTATGCAAGACACTTACTAACGAGCACTAGCAGATCCTGTTAAAAGTGTTTTGCAGCATAATAAAGTAACAGTATTAAAATTATTTTCTTCAGCTATCAAAAAAACCTTACTTAGAAAGTAATAAACTATAAAAAAATGAAATTAACAATTGTCGTAAAACACCAAATCATAATTTTCTGAACGCTCAAATATTTCTCTCAGTAAGAATGAGATTCCTAATGTTAGAATTCCCAGTTAAAAATAATTAATATATTTTTGAGAAATTGCAAATCAGCCTAAGTGTCAGTCGACTTCAAAACCCAAATGAAATCGTCGCTCATTTATTACGCCTAAAAGACGTTTAAAGTCAGAAACTTATGATTCTAAGCTTATAATTTCTTCCGAAAAACATGGGCTTCAAATACAATATAAGCTTCAGGTGTAAGCAAGAAAGTGTTTTAAATTAGTTGTTGATATGCTATAAACCTGACTGATAGTTTTAAAACAGATAATTGACCGCAGATATTTTGAAGCAGTCGTACTAAAAAAAAAAAGAGTATTGCAAACTTAACAAAGGTTGCCGCGTCTAATTTCAGAACAATCACCAACGCAGTGGCAGCAACTTTTTACCGCTTCTTGTACTCCATTCATTTAAGTTAAATTTCAATGGCGTTAACAGTATTATTAAAAACGCAGCAGTGTTTCGTTGTTGAACAAAAATTTTGGGTAATGAAGTTCAACTTTTGATGAGGAGAGTCTGCGCTACATTGTTGTCTCAAACATAACGCTCTGTATGCGACACTTTTTAAGACAAGACCGGAGTATGAAACACGTTTGCACTAAACAAAGCGTAGTTTTTCTTCCTTCTTACCCTCATTATTTTCTTCATAGCTTAGCGTTTTCGACCAAAAGTTTTCGTAAAACTTTTGATAAACTAGAACTAAATGATTTTAAGTTTCTTTTTCCAAGCAATTTTCAAAATGCTTATTTTAAGCAAAAATCTGTTGTGTTCATTCAGCTTCGATTCCTTGGAAGCGTTATTCTCCCCCTTCCTCTTCCTGAGTCAACGGAGAACAATAAGCCCAATATCTGTAATTTTTGTAGATATTAGCGACTTGAATATGAACTGAAGTTCAGCTTCCAGAAACATAAACAGAATGCTCCTTCTCCAATATAGTCCAATAAATAAACTTTGCACTATCACCAATTTATTTTTTATTATACTAAAGCAGTTACGGTGAAGAAAATAACGTGAAAAAAACTTTTCAAAATCGTTGCCGGGAACTTGCAGTACAGTTAAAGTAAACGAATCTATGCTAAAAAACCTCTTCTGTAATTTATTTGAGTTCTATAACATAACGTTACATTAGTCAGGAAATACAGTCTAAATAATTTTAAAAAAAGTGACTCAGTAGCAAGGAGTGAGAAGTCGATGGGTATAAGTTTCCTGAAAGCCGTCCAAGGGCTCTCAGCTGATTTCAACAGGTGCAAAAATTCTCCCTTACAAACTTTCCCATATACATATATCACTAAATTTCACTAACAACTGCTACTTTAAACTAACTCTAGACAAAAAAACTGAGCTTCTTTTGAACAGAATATATTTATAACTGCCAATAATTTGTTAATGAAAAACTCATTTTTTTGCTAACCTGAGAGAAGATGTACGAAAATCAAAAATCCGAAAAAACCTAATTTATTTGGAAAGACGTAATTTAAGTGTCAACAAAAAATAACATTGAAGCGCTTATCTGCATCAGCCAATTGCATGCATTTTAACTGCAAAACGTTCAGTATGCACCGGCGTTTACTGTCGTTCTTGCAATATTTTACTGCGTAATCCTGTCAGATGAGCAGTTTCGGAACAATCACAGTCAGCTTAACAATTGTTTGCATAAACCGTATATGAGATAATTCACAACAAATAACTTTATTACGAAACCGGCTGGTTCTATTTCTTGACAAAGTTACCAAAACTTCCCAATTCATAATTCTGCACCCGTCTCAAACAAACTCTTGTCTCCATGTTATTTATTTACAAACTGAACATCGTACAGCAAATAAGCATGAAAATAAGCTTGAAAACAAAATTAAGCTCAAGACACCAGTTAATATAAAACAAACCTGTATTATATATATCAACATAATATACATCGTCCTTTTAAACTGTTAATTTATACTGGTAACGAATCTTCAGCTAAACGATAAAAATGATTTTAAAGCTAGAAATTTGCAAAAGCACTGTCCGTGCTCTAGAACATCAAACATACACAAATATTTCACTACTTTTATAAAGTGTTGAAAAGGTAAAAGCTGAGTAGTCACATCAAAGAATAAACCGTCAAAGAAAAACTACGAAAAACGACTGCGAAAGAGTATGGAACTTGCTGAGACCAATGACCAATGACTCTCAAAATTGATTGAAACAAATGACTAAATAGTAAACAATTACTTTTAGTTAGAATAAATCACATACAAAAATTCCCAATAAAGTAACTTTCAAAGAAACAAAACAGAAAATTCTTACTTCCTACCTTAAAAAGTACAAGTTTTGGAACACTGACAACACAGATAAAACTCAACCTGTTTTCTGAATTACGCTGGGAAGGCCTGCAACAGTGAAAAAATATGTGCAAGAAAATCAGCTCTTAATACCTAATCCAAAAGAAGCACTACTTCAGATCAGAAATTTAGAAGGCTAAAAACAACATTAAGCATTAACTATAAATATGCAAAGCTGATTATTCGCTTAAAAAAGGCGAAAGTTAAAATATAAAGTTTCTCAAAGCCTATCATTGAAGAAAACTAAAGTGTTTGAACAAAACCTCTTGAAATACCTAACTGTGGCAAAAATGCCCTTTGCTTTTACTCCCATCAAAATGGCATATAAAAATTTTGTCGATGCTTACCAGAAATGAATTTTAAAAGTGACAATAATCTACCTCACAAGTAATTCAAACCGACAAAATTTACTCAAGAGATAGGAGCCAAAGCAACAATTACCAACTTCAAAAAAAAA